AATAACTGCCTGCCGTGTAGACGTGGACTAAGTTATTTCAAAATAATGTTGCTGTGTAAACGTACCCTTAGTGATAAAATAGTCCTGGCTTCAGAGCACTGTAGAAATAAGGTACGCTAGAGATGTGATAAGTGTATTTAGCACTTAGTATCATGCTAGGCTTGGAACTGTTTCTTATAGCTGTCTTCTTGCAAGTCTGCTATACTTCATTCTATCAAAGAAAAGAGGTTCCACTGTTCCAGTCACAATTAAGGAAAGGGGAGAAAGAACAAATTGGGAATAGAAATGGGATTTCTATATAAAGCATTAGTCCATGTACAGCTCCTGAAGAAAGCACGGAGGATTGAGGAACAGAAAGGGGCTGAAATGGGGATTCCAGAAGAGCAGATGGGTAGTAATTCACACTCATAAAAGGAAAATTTGCCAGAAAAAAAAAAAGACAAACTGCTGCCTATGAATTAGAATATACACATTTGCCTGTTTTACTGATGGCTACTCTTTCCATTAAAAGATTCTGTATGCAACACTCATATTCATTGCATATTGGCTTCATTTGATGAGAAAGTCTGTACTTTTGAAACTTGGGATACTATTAAGTAAATAAAAAATGAAACGTTCTGCACTGGTTACAGAACCACTAACTTATTTCCTTTGAAATCTCAGAGCATCATTTTAAGAAATGATCAGTTCAATACACTAAAGCACATAATGATAGCTGTCTCAGCAAGTGAGCTGCATATTCAAGATCAAAAGATATTCTCTTCTGACACAGAGCAACATTTGGGTAATGTTACATAAATTTCTCCAGAGGGGGGAAGCTTGGGTGCAGTGAGGAAAGATTGATAAATGAGTTGCAGTATATGGAGAACAACAAAGATCTCATAAGTAATATTGGTTCAAGATAAAATCTCCTTATAAACTTTTGTTGATTCCCAACTACTAATACTGGAATCCATAATTCTTAGTGGACATAAAATTGCAGAAATGGGGGCTATCTTTGAAAACTAGACCATGATTGCTCATCTTTGAAGAACACAGAATTTGAGTGATTCTAATTGAACTACTTTGTGCCTTTTTTGTTCAGATAACTAACCACAATCAATTCTTTTTAATGCTCTAAAATAATCATTATAATTTCTGAAGCCTAACACAGTTACATTGTGATTGTATATTTGTATTTCTGAGGACCTGTAATTGGTTAATTTTAAAACAAAAGAAGAAAGGGTTTTATATGACAAAGGAGACAGTTGATTCCTCAAGCATGTTTTTTTTTCTTTTGATTACTGAGTATCCTAACTGTGACTGACATTTATTGTTATCTCAGGGTATGTCTACACTACCCCGCTAGTTCGAACTAGCGGGGTAGTGTAGACATACCCTGAGATAACAATAAATGTCAGTCACAGTTAGGATACTCAGTAATCAAAAGAAAAAAAAACATGCTTGAGGAATCAACTGTCTCCTTTGTCATATAAAACCCTTTCTTCTTTTGTTTTAAAATTAACCAATTACAGGTCCTACCGTTACTCCTCGTGGAATGAGGAGTAATGGTAGTTCGAACTAGGAAGCCTAGTTCGAACTACCTAGTTCGTGCCCCGTGTAGCCGCGCTGCACGGGGTTCGAACGAGCGGGGATTTAAAAATGGTGGCGCCCCGCTTATGCAAATGAAGCCTGGGAAATTCAAATCCCGGGCTTCATTTGCAAGTGCGGTATGCCTACATTACCCTCCTAGTTCGAACTAGGAGGGTAGTGTAGACATACCCTAACATATTTCAGCCACCCCGTTAATGGCTCTGTGTTTATTTTAACTTGTTCTGAAAGTTCAGAGGGGAAGGAGTGTTCCTTCTGGGCCTTCTCACACTTTGCTATACATTCTTTTCCCCACAACTGTAGGTATTAAAAAAATCTTAAAATGAGAGACAACATGAAGGATAATAGAAGTTTGACATTACATGAGACTTTGTTATCATATAGAGTTAAATCCTGCAATGCACCCTATTCATAGCCAAAGATGTCTCAATTGCAGTGGAACATTTGCAGAGCCCCCAAAATGTACACTGTAGAGCAGGGGTGTCCAAACTTTTTTCAAAGAGGGCCAGATTTGAAGAAGTGAACATGCGTGAGGGCCATCCCCGCACTCTCAGCCCCAAGGCGGAGGGCCCGCAGGGTTGGAGGCGGGCGGGGGGCGCAGGGCACGCCGGCCTCACGCCGGCCCGGGGGCAGGGCGAACCCGTAGCCGAGCAAGGGAGCGGGGCTGCGGACGTGCCCTACAGGGCAGGCTCTAGGACCGCGGAGGCCATGGGTGGCGGTGGCGCGGCTGGAAGCAGCGCGCTGGGCGCGCCAGTTCAAAAGAGCGCCAGGGAGCCAGGAGAGGGGGAGGAAGCGGGGGCCGTATTAAATCGGAACACGGGCCGCAATTGGCCCGCGGGCTGGACTTTGGACATGCCTGCTGTAGAGCTTTCCTCCCCATGTTCAGCATTCTGCCGTCTGCAAGGCTGTTTGGGGAGTAAAACACGGTTGGTGTAAGGAAGGTTAGAATTGGAGTTGGTGAATCTGTGATTTTATGGGTCTATTGGCTTCTCCCTCCCATGGAGTAAGGGAGTAAAGCATAGGAACCAAAGAAGCTACATGATTGCATGACCACACTGTGATCTAAGAGAACTCCTTGTCTTTCATCACTATCAAAGTAATCATCCTAGTGCACGGCTGCTTCTGGGTTTATGATTTAACACATTAAATTTCATACAATAATAGTTTCATGATTCATCATCTTCACTGTAACTGCAGGTCATACAATGGGTGTGTGTAACAGCTTAGTACTACGAAGGTAAGTTTGACTCTGATATGAATTTTATTCCTCACTATGAAGAGTCACTGTATGTTTTTGACTTTATATCTCAGTTAAGCTGACCAATAGATGTGGAATCTTTTGATGTCCATTTTCTTTTTTCTTTAAAGCAGTTTAGCTTTGACAGCTTCTGTTTCCTAATGTGAATGCAGCACATTTATGGTAGCAATCTGAAGTTTGTACTGAGATATTTACCAACGTACTTACTTCCAATATAAAATACGTTGTTAAGTTGGAGTAAACTTTCAAAGTATATATACCAATTACTTGAATATTTAAAAAAAATCTTTCAGGAGCATTTGTTATTTAAAAAAAAAATCAGACATACAGGAAAGTCTTGGAAAGGTAGTTGTGTTAGTCTGTAACTTAAAAAAAAGTAGTCCCGTAGCACCTTAGAGAATAACAATATATATATATATATATAGTATCATGAGCTTTCATGAGCAAAACCCATTTCTTCAGAGTTACAGTTAGATTCAGTTAGATGCCCCAAATTTAGGCCATGTAACATTTGGAAGAACTGCTGTTTTTTAGCTGTTGCATGTGGAATTAAGCCCCTAATTTTTATTAAGGGCATTAAAAAATAATGTGGCACTTTTGATATTTCTCTAACCCATCTTAAGTAGGGCCCTACCAAATTCATGGTCCATTTTGATTAATTTCATAGGATTTTAAAAATGATAATTTTCCTTATTTCAGATATTTAAATATGAAATGTCATGGTACTGTAATTGTAGGGGTTCTGACCCAAACTGGAGGGATATTGTATGGGGGTTGTGGGATTGCTGCCCTTACTTCTGTGCAGCTGTTGGCAGCAGCATTGCCATCAGAGTTGAGCAGCTGGAGAGTGGCGGCTGCTGGCCGGGAATTGAGCTCTGAAGGTGGAACTACTACCTGCAGCAATGCATAAGTAAGGATGGCCAGGTATGATATTGCCACCCTAACTTCTGTGCTGCTGCCTGCAGAGCTAACTGAGTCAGCAGCTACCACTCTCTAGCCACCCAGCTCTGAAAGCAGCAGTACAGAAGGGTGACATGGGTATGGCATTGCCACCTATCTGCACTGCTGCTGGCGATGTGCTGCCTTCGGAGCTGAGCACCTGGCCAACATTACAACCACTGCTCTCCAGTTGCCCAGCTTTGAAAGCAGCATAGAAGTAAGGTTGGCAATACTATGACTCTCCTAAAATAACCTTGTGAATCCCCTGAAACTCCTTTTTTGAGAAACACTGGTCTCTCCTGGGAAATCTGTATAGTATAGGGTAAAAGGACACAAAAAGCCAGATTTCACAGGACACCAGATTTCATAGTCCATGACACGTTTTGCATGGCTGTGAATTTGTTAGGACCCTAATCATAAGATCTTAATTCATTAAAGGGCCAAATCATGAGAGTCACCAAATACATGTAGTTTATATTTCAGTCAGGGGAATTGCAGGTAGTCAACACCTCACAGAATTCATTCCTAGGAGGATATTGTTTTGCCAGAAGTCTCATCATATAAGCTGTCTGTTTTAGAGCAATGAGATCCAGGCTCTAATAATGACAAAATTAGGAAGTGCAATATGAATGTTAAAATCACCTCCTCAATCACTTCTATTTATTAATGTGGTTTAATTCCTTATCATTATGTTGATTCATCATATTTGATGGATTTTGACTGTATATGAATGAGGCACAATGTAATTTTGTATTGGAGAATATTGACTTTTATATTTAAAAAATGTAAATGAAAAATTTGGTTTACATTTAGAAACTTCTTTTTCTAAAGAAATACATGATCTGGGGTGTGGTTATCCAAACCTTTACCTTTACTCTTTTGGCAAAGACAAAATAATAGGCAAAAGTAAAAACATGAAATTCTCTTCTGCTCCAATGACAAATTATTTTCTTATATATATTATTTTGAAATCATGCTGTACATCCATTTCTTCCAACACTGAATTTGGATTTGTTTCCCCATCTTTATAAATGGAAAATACTAAATAATTTCCACATTTTAAGTCACTCTGACTTTTTTTTAAGGAAATTGTAAAATAAGAGTGAAGGAAACAAAGTGTAATGTGCTGTTTATCTCATGTTTCTAAACCAAAGATCATGGTCTAGCCATTAATCAGAAGATGATGCTTGTTTTATTGCTTGGTCATTTGTAGATGATTATCCATCTGAAGAAGGTGATCCAGGAATTGAAGGATGAGCTGGCCATGGTGACTGGGGAGCAAAGAACAGAAGAACTTATGCCAGAAGAGCTACTTGAGTAATGCTTAATAGAGTTTTCTTTTTCTACATTCACAGTGAAAGTCTTTGTTAACTTCTCTGTTGGCATAATGAGGTTCAATTGACCTCAAATCATTACATTCCCCAGAGACAAAGAGAAAAATCACAAACACCTCTCAATACTGGGTATAATATCAGAAAAGAATTCAAGAAACGTCTTTGTATTGAGTAGTATCTTTCATGTGTGAGTTTGTCCCATATGAAAGAAAACATGCACTACTAATACATCGTACATCCATGGCTTAAAAGCCAAACATTTAGAATTGTATCATGAATGGTATTCAAGGAACATGTTCAATATATATCAGTGATTTGGGAGCATAGAACTTTGCTGTAATACAACTGTAGAACGTAATGGAAGGTATTGCTGTGCCTGGTCTAGAAATAGAGTCTGGAAATCTGGAGCTGCTATAATCTGTTTCAGTGGTTCTCAACCAAAGGTGCACAGAAGTCTTCCTGGGTACATCAGCTCATCTATATATTTGCTTAGTTTTACAATAGAGTACATAAAAAGCAAAAGCAAAGTCAGTACAAAGTAAAATTTCATGGAGGTAGTGACTTGTTTATACTGGTCACTGAAATGTAAGTATAATGTTTATTTTTTGATTCACTTATAATTAAATTGTAAAAATGAGCAAGTAATCAATTTTTCAGTAGTGGTGTGCTGTGATACTTTTCTAGTCATATGCCTGATTTTGTAAGCAAGTAGTTTTTAAGAGGGGTGAAATCTTTGCGTACACAAGACAAATCAGATTCCTGGCAATGTTGAGAGTCATTGCTCTATTCCCAACTCTGATGATTATCTATGTGGCTTTGTGCAGCTCATTTTATTTCTGTATGCTTCATCTGTAAAAAGAAATTAATATCCACCTTACAAAATGTGGAGAGGATTAATTAATTAGTTAATAGTTACATGATTTTATTTAAATGCTAAATATTTATTACTATTAATATGTAATATTCACATTTGAAGAAGGGCTAAGAGCACTAACAATCTCCATTCAGAAGCAGTGGCAAATTTAAGTGGCTTTAGTAGCCCAGAAACATTAATGTGCATTTTGTAGTTAGGTCGTGTGTCATAATTTTTTATTTATAAAAATCCAAAACTTCAATCAATGTGTTGAGGATGAGGAACCAGACAGAAATCTGTAAATATTAAAACTTACAAAGCAGATCTGAACCATTCACAACAGGGGCAATTATATTTTGCTTATCTAAAATGTCTCTGAAGTTTTTACTAGATTGTTAATTTATCATCTGCCAAAAAATGGGGAGGGTTCTCTCTCCCAATACAATCTGTATCCCCAAATACCTTAGAAGCTAATATCAAATATTCTATAATGAGGGAGTAATAAAATAGCAGGGTTGAAAGATAGGGTTAACATCTGTGAGGGTATGTCTACACTACCCCGCTAGTTCGAACTAGCGGGGTAATGTAGGCATACCGCACTTGCAAATGAAGCCCGGGATTTGAATTTCCTGGGCTTCATTTGCATAAGCAGGGCGCCGCCATTTTTAAATCCCTGCTCGTTCGAACCCCGTGCAGCGCGGCTACACGGGGCACTAACTAGGTAGTTCGAACTAGGCTTCCTAGTTCGAACTACCGTTACTCCTCGTGGAATGAGGAGTAATGGTAGTTCGAACTAGGAAGCC